CTTTCTCTCTCTCTCTCTCTCTCTCTCTCTCTCTCTTTCTCCCTCTCTGTCTCTCCCTCTCTCTAGATGAATAGTGGTACAACCTTCCACTTCCAGTGTCACTCTCCAACCATCAGTTTTTGTTGTTTTTGGGGGGAGGGGTTTTGTTGTTGTTGTTTGAGGGGAGAGTTGGGGGGTGCTTTTGTTTATTTTTGTTTATTTATTGTTTATGTGTTTCATATGATTTATTTTTTTTTGGGGGGGGTTAATTTGCTTGTAAGTGCGTTTGTTTGTTTGTTTGTCTGTTTGTTTGTTTGTTCGGTTGTTTGTTTGTTTGTTTTTGTGATGTGACAGAACTAAGAACAAGCGTCGTCAACATTTACCTTCCCTCCCAAGTCGTTGGTGTTGAGATGTTTCCTCGCGGCATTCAGGAGAGTCAGCTGAAACAGACCAGGCTCTTGAATAAATTATGTCTTTTGTTAATTGATTTATTCATTTATTCATTGATTCATTTACTTTCTATCCCTCTATCTACTCTCCTTTAGTTAGTTTTAGTTTTAGTAGAGGTTTTACGGCGCTCCCAACTGCATGAGGTCATATGAGCGCCAAATCTATTCTCGGTTTCAAATTTATTATAAAGGGTTGAAAAAGGAGGGGGGTGGTAATTGGTACACAGCTGTTTAATTTGTGTCCAAAAAGTATCAAATATCAAAATAGTTAAATTAATTCAACATAGAGAGTTCAAATTTTAAAAAGTTAACTTTAGGGAAATCAAATTCGTCATTGTCAGTTCAAATGCAGCATAGGAAAATTCAAAATCAAAAATACGAAAAACTACGAAGCTATGACGTAACCATCTTCTCCGAGACAGGGGAAGCTACCCTGTCTCTTAGCAACGTTCGTTGTTTACTGTTTACGTCTCTCGCATTCTACACTCACCGTCTGCTCTCTAGATCTAGATCTAGATCTACACCTTTTCCCCATCAAATATCAAGTAGCGAGTTTAAATGCAGCAATTAAGGTTCAAATATCTGTCTCTTAGCTACATTCGTTGTTTACTGTTCTCGTCTCTCTCCGTCAGCTGTCTAGATCTAGATCTAACCGTCGCCGTCATCTCGTTTTGTTAGATCCAACACTTCGACCGTTGTAACAGATCTTACCAGGAAGACACAGCAACATATTAAGCATGCCTGACCAAAAATCAAATAACACAAAGAGTCAGTCTCGAGGATTAACAGAGAATAGCGGTATACGAGAAGCCTTTCTGCGAGGTGACGATTAGATCTACGTAATGCTCGCTAAACAGTTGCAAATTAACCGAAATACTGCATACAGTACCTTACGCCGAGCGATAGGAACTGACGACGTTGTTGAAAAGAGATTTGGGAAAGTAACCACGGAAATAAAACATGAGCTGGTTTCGATTGCCAAAAGCCACCCAGATTACACTTTCAACAAAATAAAAAACAGGTCTTCGAATGGCAGTAACTGTCCGCGGTCATTTCACCGTACATAATGACTCTCTCTCTCTCTCTCACACACACACATGCACACACATACACATACACACACACATACACACACACATACACACACACACACACACACACACACACACACACACACACACTCACTCACTCACTCACTCACCGTGGTCCCATGCACTATACCCTGTGGTCCAATATAACAGTAACTGCCAGCAGTCATTTGACCATACATGGTGACTCCCAGAGCAAACAGACGATCGTACAGGCTACGACTGGAGTAGTTGGGGACCATCTGAAGATAGGTGGGATAAATCATCATCATCATCGTCATCATCATCATCATCGTCATCATCATCATCGTCATCAGTGTCATCGTCATCATCATCATCATCATCATCATCATCATCATCAACATCATCATCATCATCATCATCACTGATATTATTATGAGAAAAAGAG